ATGAGACGTGCCTTGCATGGCCTTCAGTAGTGTTACAAGGAATATAAACACCAGAGAATGCTGTAGAAGAAACATGTCTTCCAATTCCTGTGTTAAAGGGATAGAAACACTAAAAGCATAAAACATATGTCATAGTGTCTTAACATGGGGGTGACGATTCTGCCTCAGCAGAATCGTCACCCCCATGTGTCAGAGGACAGGTAACACTGATATTCTAATGCCTTCACTGTGTTGCAGTTGGGCTGGAATAATATCCTGAAGCCTTTTGAGCGAGTAAACAAACAGCAACGTCTCAGCAAATCGTCCAGCTGCAGTATAAACACAAGTTTATAAATATAATATGTACAAAGAGGAGGCAAGGACGTAACTCGGTATTTTCAATACAATAATACCTGCATCTCTGAGAATCCTCCATGGACCTACATCACTTGGAACAGAGTGAGTATTTTTTTTTTAAGTCTTCTCTCTTCTTCTCCAGATTTTCCATGTACAGATTGGCCAAGACGGTACTGATTGGCAAATCTACGGCCATTTCAAGAACTGTCTGTTCATGCAAATCGCCAAAGGTGAAATAATTGGCGTTAACAACTCAATGAAGACCATGAAATCTGTGGCTGGTAACGAAAGGTCCCATGTTGCTGGACGACGGTATGAATGGTGCAGCCATGTCTTGTCCACATGAGGTCCTGTTTGTACAGTTTGTCACTTTATCAAAACTGTGAAATCTCGGTGTTCTCAGTTAGAAGGTAAATGTTATCAGAGGTGTGAAAATACTGATGTTACGGAGGTGGATATGTGTGTTCAGAGAGGGAGCGAACTTACCCGCATCAGACACAGATGATAAACCGGTATTAATAAAAATGATGAAGGATTTGCAACGAGTAGCCGCTGATAAATGAACAGTGCTATTTAGGCAGTGGTTAACAGTGAGCTGGAATATATTTGGAGTGTAATTATGTAATTCTTTTCAGGGCAGAAAATCTCGGTATAGACAGTAAGGTCTGCTGTTGTACTTCTTCCACACAAGAAGAACACAGTAAGGTCACCAATGAATGGGCAGTTCTCTGAAATACCATACGAGAGATTAAAAGGCCATCTCAAAGATTAAAATGCCACATCAGAGAATCTAAAACGAGATCTAAGACGACATCCGAAGCATGACAAGGTGACAGCATTACCCACGCACTCACCAATCCCAGATGTGGTCAAGTCAGACCATTAACTACGTACATACAGACCCCAGGTGTGTCCAAGAAACGCCATCAACTACGGCACTCACAGAGCCCAGGTGTAGCCAGAGCAGACCATTAATCATGTATAGAGGCCATACAGACCATTAACCACGTACAAAGACTATTATCCACGCACATACAGAGCCCAGGTGGGGCCAGCTCATCCCATTCATCATGCACCCACAGCGCTCTTTACACACGAAGCCGACCATACATTATTTATGTTCTGCTTGCTTCTATAAACCTTTTGCGCAAGAAATGCTTCTTTTATTCATATCAGCGACATGTTAAACATACCAGCTGGGTGGTAAAGACTGTGTGAAGACACCAGCTGGGTGGTATACACTTCCTGAAGAGACATACCAGATGGGTGGTATACACTTCCTGAAAAGACATACCAGATGGGTGGTATACACTTCGTGAAGAGACATACCAGATGGGTGGTATACACTTCCTGAAGAGACATACGCTGTGTGGTAAATGCCTTGTAAAGGACGGATATATTATGTAAAAGTGGAAATAAGACCATTAGTACTGAATATTTTTTTCGGGGGATTTAAAACGACCGACTGCATCCAGGAGAGGTGTCTTGATGCTGCTGAGTGGTACTTGATCTGAGGAAGTGGAGCTGCCTTCCTCTTCCTTTAATGAAACCTATATATCAACCATTTACACACACACACACACACACACACACACACACACACACACACACACAACCGAGGAAGAAGTGAAGAGGCTTCTGAGTGAGCCAGATACCTCAAAGGCAATGGGGCCAGATAACATCTCTCCATGGGTCCTGAGAGAGGGAGCAGAGACGCTATGTGTACCCCTAACAACAATATTCAATACATCTATCGAAACAGGGAGATTGCCTGAGGCATGGAAGACAGCAAATGTAGTCCCAATCTTTAAAAAAAGAGACAGACATGAAGCACTAAACTACAGACCAGTGTCACTGACATGTATAGTATGCAAAATCATGGAGAAGATTATCAGGAGAAGAGTGGTGGAACACCTAGAAAGGAATGATCTCATCAACAGCAGCCAACTTGGTTTCAGGGACGGGTAATCCTGTGTCACAAACCTACTGGAGTTCTATGACATGGTGACAGCAGTAAGACAAGATAGAGAGGGGTAGGTGGATTGCATATTCTTGGACTGCAAGAAGGCGTTTGACACAGTTCCACACAAGAGATTAGTGCAAAAACTGGAGGACCAAGCAGGGATAACAGGGAAGGCACTACAATGGATCAGGGAATACTTGTCAGGAAGACAGCAGCGAGTCATGGTACGTGGCGAGGTGTCAGAGTGGGCACCTGTGACGAGCGGGGTCCCAAAGGGGTCAATCCTAGGACCAGTGCTGTTTCTGGTATTTGTGATCGACATGACGGAAGGAATAGACTCTGAGGTGTCCCTGTTTGCATATGACGTGAAGTTGATGAGAAAAATTAATTCGATCGAAGACCAGGCAGAACTACAGAGGGATTTGGACAGGCTGCAGACCTGGTCCAGCAATTGGCTCCTGAAGTTCAATCCCACCAAGTGCAAAGTCATGAAGATTGAGGAAGGGAAAAGAAGACTGCAGACGGAGTACAGTCTATGGGGCCAGAGACTACAAATCTCACTCAAGGTAAAAGATCTTGGGGTGAGTATAACACCAGGCACATCTGAAGCGCACATCAACCAAATAACGGCTGCAGCATATGGACGCCTAGCAAACCTCAGAACAGCATTCCGACATCTTAATAAGGAATCGTTCAGGACCCTGTACACCGTGTACGTTAGGCCCATATTGGAGTATGCGGCACCAGTTTGGAACCCACACCTAGCCAAGCACGTAAAGAAACTAGAGAAAGTGCAAAGGTTTGCAACAAGACTAGTCCCAGAGCTAAGAGGTATGTCCTACGAGGAGAGGTTAAGGGAAATCAACCTGACGACACTGGAGGACAGGAGAGATAGGGGTGACATGATAACGACATACAAGTACTGAGAGGAATTGACAAGGCGAACAAAGACAGGATGTTCCAGAGATTGGACACAGTAACAAGGGGACACAGTTGGAAGCTGAAGACACAGATGAATCACAGGGATGTTAGGAAGTATTTCTTCAGCCACAGAGTAGTCAGTAAGTGGAATAGTTTGGGAAGCGATGTAGTGGAGGCAGGATCCATACATAGCTTTAAGCAGAGGTATGATAAAGCTCACGGTTCAGAGAGAGTGACCTAGTAGCGATCAGTGAAGAGGCGGGGCCAGGAGCTCGGACTCGACCCCCGCAACCTCAACTAGGTGAGTACAACTAGGTGAGTACAACTAGGTGAGTACACACACACACACACACACACACACACACACACACACACCTACAACTGCGCTGTACGAGCCAATGGATGTATATAAAAAATGGAAATTAAGGCATTTTTGCGCACCATGGCTAAGCTTTCAAGGTCACGAGGCACCACAGGCGGTGCTGCTGCATGAATCAAATCTGAATCAATGGCAAAAATAAGTGTGTATATGTATGTGTGTGTGTGTGTGTGTGTGTGTGTGTTGTGTGTGTGTGTGTGTGTGTGTGTACTCGCCTAGTTATAGTTGCAGGGGACGAGTCACAGCTCCAGGCCCCGCCTCTTCAACTGGCCGCTACCCAGTGTGTTTGTGTGTGTGTGTGTGTGCACTTATTTGTGGTTGCGGGGGTCGTGTCACAGCTCCTGGCCCCGCCTCTTCTCTGGTCGCTACTTGGTGCACCTCTCTCCTTGCTTCATGAGCTTTATCGGATCTCTTCTTAAAGCTATGTATGGATCCTGCTTCCACTACACCACTCTCCGGATTGTCCCACTTCCTGACAATTCTATGACTGAAGAAATACTTCCTAATATCCCTGTGATTCATCTGAGCTTTCAACTTCCAGTTGTGACCTCTTGTTGCTGTGTCCCATCTCTGGAACCTTCTGCCCCCCCTATCCACCTCGTCAATTCCTCTCAGTATATTATATGTTGTTATCATGTCCTCCCTATCTCCTGTCCTCATGTCGTCAGGTTGACTTCCCTTAACCTTTCCTCATAGGACATACATCTTAGCTCCTGGATAGTGTTGTTGTAAATCTTTGCACTTTCTCTGATTTCTTGAAGTGCTTGACCAGGTGTGGGTTCCATACTGGTGCTGTATACTCCAGTATAGGCCTGACGTACACTGTGTATAGCGTCTTGAACGACTCCTCATTCAGGTATCTAAACGCTATTCTTAGGTTTGCCAGGCTCCCATATGTTGAAGCAATTATTTGGTTGATGTGCGCCTCAGGAGATATGCTCGGTATCATACTCACCCCAAGATCCTTTTCCTTGAGTGAGGTTTGCAGTCTTTGACCCCCTAGACCGTCTTCTTTCACCTTCCCCAATCTTCATGACTTTGCACTTAGTGGGGATTAAACTCCAGAAGCCAGTTGTAGCAGCCTGTCCAGATTCCTTCGTAGTCCTGCCTGATCCTGTATGTGTGTGTGTAGGTATGCCAGAGGAAGGTAGATAAATAAGAAGGCCAAAGGAAGGTAGGTAGGTAGGCCAGAGGAAGGTAGGTAGGTAGGCCAGACGAAGGTAGGTAGGAAGTCCAGAAGAAGGTAGATAAGTAGTCTAGAAGAAGGTAGATAGGTAGGCCAGAGGAAGGTAAGTAGGGCAGGGTGGTGGTGCTGGTGTATGTTTTCCTGACCTGCATCAGGTGAATAGCTGAAGGCACGGGGGTGTGGGCAGCAGAAACAGCAGCTGAGACAGCTGGATGGCAGCCCTGGGTCAACAGCCCCCCTGCAGCCTATCCAGCAGCAGCAGCAGTGTGGCGAGGGGCGGGAGGTGCTGAGGGTGGATGAGGAGGAGGCTGGGCAGCCACCACCGCCTTGCATCACATCTCAAGGTCATGGACTGGCTGCCCCGCCTCAGTCTAGTACCCACAGTCTTGGCGCACGGTTGCATCTCGTCACGCGCACCTCATAGCCCTCGTGTAACGCTACCTCTTGTGTGAACGCTACCTGCGTGCCCTCGTGTGACCGTTACCCGCTGCTAGCGGGAATGCTACGTACTGCGTTACGCGTCCCCCACGCTGCTGTTACGTCGTGTAGTGCTCCATAAAGTCACATATCATGAACTTTAACTGGCACGCTGTTATTGAGACTTACAGGAGACAGTGAGATAAGACCAGACAATGTTTTCCAATGGATCTTGCGACACAAGCTCACGTAATCAAATGTCTGCAGGAACACCGGAAGTAACACCTAGTTCCTCGTACTGGTATATAACGGGAGGAGGAGAAGGAGGTCTTCCGTGTGTCTCCAGCATTGGATGGATAATGAGAAACGTTAAGTACGTAGTGTGGTGGCGGTGACGTCAGGATAACAGCAGAGATCTGCTGTTGGTGTTTGCTGCTGCTACTGCTGCTGCTCCTCGTGCTGCAACTGCTCCTGCTGCTACATCACCTGCTGTTGGTACCGCTGCTGCTGAGGCAGTGATAGCGTCTGTGTGAACTCTTTCTCACCTTTCGTTACGTCCGGGAGTTTTAAGTCTGGCCTCTGAGGCCCGTGTCTCAGCCCTCAGTAATTTGAGGTGACTGAACCTGCGAACTGTTTCACCTTCCATTATTTTGACGAGAAAAGACACACTGTACAAGACAAGCTTGGGTTAGGACAACGTTTCCCCCTTTGTAGAGCTTTATGAAGTCACGGCTTGATAAAGCTCTACACAAAGCGAAACATGCCTTGATTAAACCCTACACAGAGTGAAACATGCTTTGATTAAACTACACAGAGCGAAACGTTGCCCCAATAAACAGGTAGTTCTGCGACGTTTCTTCCCTCCATTCCTGCAGGCTATTTTGTTCCAATATTTTTGTTCCATCTTTCTGTTACACTGACGCTGCAAAAGTGCTTGTCAGTGGTACAGAGTTACTTTGCTTTACTGTTCCAACGGTGCCCCACTGATCTGTTAACTGTTATTGTCTTCTTGTTCTGTTAACTGTTATTGTCTTCTTGCTCTGTTAACTGTCATTGTTTCCTTGTTAACTGTTTTTGTTCTCTTCTGTTAACTGTTATTTATTTCTTGTTCTGTTAACTGTTATTATTTTCTTGTTCTGTTAACTGTTATTGTTTTCTTGTTCTGTTAACTGTCATTGTTTCCTTGTTAACTGTTATTGTTCTCTTCTGTTAACTGTTATTTATTTCTTGTTCTGTTAACTGTTATTATTTTCTTGTTCTGTTAACTGTTATTGTTTTCTTGTTCTGTTAACTGTCATTGTTTCCTTATTAACTGTTATTGTTCTCTTCTGTTAACTGTTATTTATTTCTTGTTCTGTTAACTGTTATTATTTTCTTGTTCTGTTAACTGTTATTGTTTTCTTGTTCTGTTAACTGTTATTGTTTCCTTGTTCAGTTAACTGTTATTGTCTCTTTGTTCTGTTAGCTGTTATTGTTCACGTGTTCTGTTAACTGTTATTTTTCTCCTGTTCTGTTAACTGTTATTGTCTCCTTGTTCTGTTAACTGTTATTGTTTCCTTGTTCTGTTAACTGTTATTGTTTCCTTGTTCTGTTAACTGTTATTGTTTCTTTGTTCTATTACCTGTTATTGTTTCTTTCTTCGCTGTTGTCTTACTACCAGGTATTCCCTGATCCATTGTAGTGCCTTCCCTGTTATCCCTGCCTGGTCCTACAGTTTTTGCACTAATCTCTTGTGTGGAACTGTATCAAACGCCTTCGTACAGTCCAAGAAAATGCAGTCTACCCACCTTTCTTCATCTTGTCTTACTGCCGTCACCCTGTCATAGAGCTCCAGTAGGTTTGTGCCAGGATTTTCGGTCCCTGAAACCATGCTGGCTGTCGTTGATAAGCTCATTCCTTTCTAGGTGCTCCACCACTCTCCTGATAATCTTCTCCATGACCATGTATACTATACATGTCAGTGACACTGGTCTGTAGTTTAATGCTTCGTGTCTGTCTCCCTTTTTTTTTTAAATTGGGACCACATTTACTGTCTTCCATACCTCAGGTAGTCGCCCTGTTTCGATAGATGTGTTGAAGATTGTTGCTAGTGGTACACAACATGCCTCTGCTCCCTCTCTCAGTGTGTGTGTGTGTTTGTGTGTGTGTGTGTGTTTGTGTGTGTGTGTTTGTGTGTGTGTGTGTGTGTGTGTGTGTGTGTGTGTGTGTGTGTGTGTGTGTGTATACTCACCTATTTGTGGTTGCAGGGGTCGAGTCCTAGCTCCTGGCCCCGACCACATTTACTGTCTTCCATACCTCAGGTAGTCGCCCTGTTTCGATAGATGTGTTGAAGATTGTTGCTAGTGGTACACAACATGCCTCTGCTCCCTCTCTCAGTGTGTGTGTGTTTGTGTGTGTGTGTGTGTTTGTGTGTGTGTGTGTGTGTGTGTGTGTGTGTGTGCGTGTGCGTGCGCGGCGGGGGACATGAATGTCTTAAGTCCTATGTATGGTAAGTGAGCTGCGTGTCAGAGGTATTAAGGAATACTTACGTCATATGCGTTATGTGTGCATGGCGTGTACGTGGTAATCACGTGCACCATGATACATGCGTCCTTATATTGCGATGTACGTGTCGGGTGCACCGCAATACAGGTGGTGACGTAATGTTTGCCTTGTAAAAAAAAAAGGGTAGATTTGTGGGTACCATCCTTCCGCTGTGGTTTACCTTTACTAAAGTGCGCCAAGCAAATGCATAAATGCAGCGGTGTAGCCGCTGTATTTGTTGTTACGTCCGTATGTCACTGTAGTTGTTGTCACTGTAGTTGTTGTTACGTCCGTATGTCACTAGTTGCTGATGGTGTTTACGCGTGCGTTGTAATAATTTAATAGTTTATGCATGCGTTCCAATATTTACAAAATCAAAACAATATCCGTGGCGTCCCATTACTTCCTGTACCAAAACCTGCAACAAAACACTCTTCTGTAAATAAAAAAAAAAATTGTAGCGGATTAACATGATAGCGAAAGCAACAGGTTATCCCGGTACTTCCTGGGCCCAGCTGATACATGACATGACAGACAGAGGAGGCTACCTTCATGTAAAATAAATATTTCCTGGCCTCGTGCGATATAAAATGGCGACTCTGTGTTTTGAAAAAACACGGGAGTAACGTCTTGTCAAAATATTTGTCGCCATTTATAATATTTCCCGGTGATAACATTATTGCCACATAATATTCCACCATGATAACATTGCGTGTGTCGCTGGTAATATCTCCCGCTGATAATAACGGTGTTTATCTTAGGTTATCTCTGCCTGATGCTTTATTTGTATTTTTTTGTTTACTAATCTGTAATCTTCACTGGACTAATTTTACCACTAACTTCCATACTACGGAACTGATCTTCCTTGAAACCTGTTATCCATTTATCAAGATTTACTCAGTTTTCCGTTACTATTCTTCTGTTTTACTTCTTACAAGGGACTAGTGTGTTCTTGATGTGCACTCAGTTCATCTGCATGTACGCGACCAATTATATTCGGTATGCTACTTTCAGATAAAAACAACATTTGTCTCACCAAAGAATGAAAAGTCATCTAAGTGATTAGAGTTCTTATTAACATCTTAGTCAGATCTTAGCTACACCTTAGCCAGACCTTAGCTGTGTCGCACAACAAGTGGTTACACCATCTTTTCCACCGAGAAGGTAGCAAATGTTGAGATCAGTCTCTCAGCCTTGCAAGAGGTGGTCAGTCCCTCAGCCTTGCAGGAGGTGGTCAGTCCCCTTAGCCTCGCAGGAGGTGGTCAGTCCATCAGTCTCGCAGGAGGTGGTCAGTCCCTCAGCCTTGTTGCCCAGTTTACAAACACGTGAGGCTCCATCACCAACACACGAGGTTCCATCACAAACACATGAGGCTCCATCACAAACATACTAGGCTCCATCACAAACACACGAGGCTCCATCACAAACATACTACGCTCCATCACAAACACACGAGGCTCCATCACAAACATACTAGGCTCCATCACAAACACTCGAGGCTCCATCACAAAAACACTAAGGTCCATCACCACCACACGGAGTTCCATCACCAACAACACGGGTATCATGTACCTGAGTCAGGCCAACAAGGTCTTGAGGGGTAAATGGCTCCGTCATGGTACTAGATGGCAGTGAGAGAGGAAACTCTGTACCTTGACTAAGTTTGCCCTGAAAAACTTACGCCTTTTTCCGGTTGAGTTGTCTCACGTTTTGTTCTTTGTTGAGATATCCCATATTTTATGTTTTTTGGTTGATTTATGTCACATTTTATTTGTTGAGTTACCTACATTTTATATTTTTTGGCTGAGTTATCCCACATTTTATGTTTTTTTTTTTTTTTGGTTGAGTTACACCACTTTTTGGGTTGAGTTATGCCACATTTTATGTTTTTTTGGTTGAGTTATCCTTTGTGGAACTTCATTAGAGGCCTTACCGAAGTTCCTGTACTCGGTATCGTACTCTTTATCTTGGTCCACCAACTCGAGCACATTAGTAAACTAGGTTAGTAAATTCGTAAGGCAAGACCACCAGTTTGTTGATGTTTTCTGGTTGAGTTTTATGGAGTTTATCTTTTTCGGTTCAATCATCCGAGTGTTGACATTTTATGGTTTAGTCATTCCAATACCAATGAGTTTGGTTGAGTTATCCAAACACATTGGTATTTTGTGGTAGAATCATCCCAGTGTTGCTGTTTTGTGGTTCACTCTGATGCATAAGGTCACGTGGAAGCTGTCCCTAGCACCAGAATCTTACCTGTGTAATTCAGTTCCTGGTGGTTGGGTTCGCCACTGGCCTCTCTCCTGTCTCTCTCTATTCTTCTCTCTCTCTCTCTCTCTCTCTCTCTCTCGTTCATTTCAACAACTTCATTAGGGCGAGCAGTTAATAATGGGAAACCCTGGTTTAATATTAGTAGAGGTAGAGATAGAAGCAGTAATGGTGGTTGTGGGTACCACAGCGGTGGCCACGTGCAGAGTACTGTCCGCTGAGAAGC